ATATGGTAAAATGCTTCTCTTTTTCATTGACGTAGACCAGTAGCTTTTGATTATGTAGCTCTAAACGTTGATAAATTTACAACTGAAAGTTAGCAAACTAAAATATTTTGAATATTGTTACAACAATAAAAAAGGCACGCAGTCGCCGTTCACATTTTATGCTACAATAATTATTGTTGATGGAGTTCAAATATTTGCCACCAACTGCATCTGCTATTATTCGTATTTAATATTCAAACGAATGAAACAAGCAAACATACAGCGATTGGTGGCAATCAGACACATCACACTAGCCCAAGAGCACTCTCTGTATAGGAAGTGATGGCTGAGCTGCTATATAGTATGACATGAACTGAAAGCCGATGTGTATTATCCAGAACTAGAAAGTTCTGGAAATTACGAAGAAAGCTTGGTGGAGTAGCTCCGATTCGAACCGAGATCTTCCGAATTGCTATTCGGACGTGTTTCCATTACACTACAACCCGAAGAAATAGAAAATCAGAACCCCTTTTTATACTATTTGACAGTATGTCGCACACGTTGCGCAAGACGCTATTTCAAAGCATCCTTATTCTTTCTTTCATCATTTTTTTTCGAAAAATATGATGAAATGAAAGTGGTCGCTTGAGTAAAAGTAAACAACAGAGAGACTCCACCGCGAGGGTGTGGGTGTGCGTGTGTGTGGGGAGGGGGGGTGTGGATGTGGATGTGGGGTGTGTGTATGGGGTGCGGGTGTGGATGTAGGTATGGGTGTGGGTTTGGGTGTGAGTGAGGGTGTGGGTTTTGGTGTGAGTGAGGGTGTGGATTTGGGTGTGGGTGAGGGTACGGGTATGGCTGTGAGCATGGGTATGGGTGTAGGTGTGGCTGTGGGGTAAGAGGTCGGGTCTGAGTTTGGGAGGAGGGCATGGGTGCGACAAAGGTGTGGGTGTGATAGAAATGTGGATGTGTGAGTGCAGTTGTTCTCACCTACACGATGCCCACACCCATATTCTAGCAACCGACGGTTGGCATAGGGATCAAAATTTTTGAGTTTCATGAGGCTACAAGTATGGTTCTAAAATCTTAGAATTTAATAAGATTTCATTTATATTCCTCGCAGTTTTGTATGAGAATTGTTAGATGGTTGGAAAAAAGTTTCTATTATGCACAAAAATATTTTCAATGATGTCTGTGCAGGTAAACGTTTTCACTGATTAGTAAAAGTGTTGATGTTAGTCATAACCGATCTTTTCATGGCGGTTTTTTCCAACTTTCCTTTGACTTGAGAGAAATATGTCTGATTAATAATGTTTTAGCAAATGAAAACTATCACAGTATAGTAGAATAATATTTTTCTTCAATTTATTTTTGAAGGAAGTAATTAAATAGAGATTGAAATCATTCATGCATTTAATAGACAGTTAGAAAATGAGAAAATATTGAAAAACAATTTAGAAATGATATATAACCTAACAGGAAAACATCGAAGGTGTGGGTGTGGGGTGTGGGTGTGGGTGGGTGTGGGTGTGAGTGTGGGTGTGTATTTGAACAAAAACCTAAAACACTCATACCCACACTCACACCCACACCCACACACCCACACTCACACTCATACCCACATCCACACCCACACCCACACCCACACCCACACTCACACCCACACCCATCCACACCCACACCCATCCACACCCACACCCACCCACCCACACGCACACCCACCCACACCCACCCTCAAAGTGTCAATAGTTTTGCATAAAGCTCACTGATCCATTACAGATTCTACGAAACCATTAATAGTTTAGTATAAGCTATACTGAACCATAGCAGATTATACGATGCTGCACATCGTTTCGTACAAAATTTACTGAACCTTCATTTACACTACGAAACTATAAGAAGTTCTGTATAAAGTACACCAAGCCCTTACTGAGAACACGGAATTGCCCAGAGTTTGGTATTAAGCCTACTGAACCTTTATCAGTTTCGTTAAACTATAAATAGTTCAGCTTAGCATTTACTGAAACATTACAAATTTTATGAAATCTTTAGCAGTTTCGCATAAACTATACTGAACCATTGCAGATAATTAAATGCTGGATATCGTTTCGTATAATATTGATGAAACCTTTTTTTTCAACTTGCAGAATTATAAAAGATTCTGTATGAAATATACTAAACTTTTGTGAAACTGATGAGACTGCAATTCGTTTAGTGCAAAATATACTGAACCATCGAATGGTACAGGATTCCATCAAAAGTTCAGTATGAAATACACCGAACTTTTGGGAGTGCTATGAAATTCTGAAGTATTCGTGTAGAACTTACGAAACCTTGAAATGAAGTACGAAACTATCGGTCGTTCACTATTAATTTTACGAATCCATCAGTTAGTCTACGGAACTCTCAATAGTTTCGCAAAAAATCTACCAAACTTTTGAAGGATGTACAAAGCCATCGATCGTTTCGTGTGACTTATACCGAACCTTTGGTTAGTATGCGAAACCATCAAGCGTTCCATATAAAATATTCTGAACCTTTTGACAACCTTCGAAACCATCAACTGTATCGTATGAAATGTGCGGAACCTTCATAGAAGCTACGAATCCTTGAATAGTTTCGTGAAAAATAGACGAAACCTCTACTGAAGTTACGAAACCATTGATGGTTTCGTTGACATATTACGAAACCAGCAGATGGTTTCTTTTGAGAACTGCCAAACCTTACTAAATCTACTGAACTCAAAAAAGTTTATTAATATTACTACGAAACTTTTTTTATTCTACTGAACCTAAAAAAGTTCGGTGAAAAAATGGGAAACCTTTTAAGTTCAGTAATAAACCAATTTTTTTTTCTGTGTATACATATGCATATATATATATATATACTCCGTGACGGGCAAGTAAAACAATGATGTAAACATTCAATCAATAACAAGAGAGACAATATAGCTGGTGCTAGATGGCTATTCCGATAGCATAGTTGGCGGAGCCCTTAGGCCTGGGGAGGCTCAAGCCTCCCCTAAAACAAAATTGGGGAGGCTTTGGGATGCTCAGATATTTGAAAAAAGTTTACAGATCTCATCATGATCTCGTGTTTGATTAGAGAACGCGGTTTGAAAAAAGTGATGTTTGGTTTTTCTCTGAAAGTAGTATTCATTTTGATTTTAGATCGCAGGCATATATGATTGTATTTTTTTTGAAACAGTTTAACATATTATTACTAGTGACTCTTTTATGCAGAGGAATAGCCAACGTACTGAACACGTTTATAGTGCCGTAGTATTTTTGTATTTATCATTAAAAGTTTTGTTATCTTGTCTGCTTGACTTTTGAAAGATTTTGAAATGATAAAGAAACAATAATCTTATAATATGAGGAAGGTTCATGGAAAAATATGACTTATTATTGAGTAAAGTCAGAAGCGGCGGAGCCATTAGGCTTGGGAAGACTTGAGCTTACCCTTAAAAAAGGGAAGGAAGGCTTGAGAAGACTCAACGTTTGAGAAACTTTTACGAATCTCATTCTGAGTTTATATTGAATATCCCAAAGATATTATAAATATAATTTATTTTGTATATATCTTTGCATAAACAAATGATAAAATCTCGAATTTTTTTAAAATGTGTTTTGGTGGTTTCTAACAAAGCGACCCAAAAAGGTGTATAAAAGGTTTCTACTTCAGATTGTATTGGAGTTAACAAACATATTTGAAATAATATCTGTTTTTCATGTATCTTTGCACGGAAAATTCACAAAAACTTGAATCGCTTTTAAAGGTGTACCATTAAACTCTTGACAATATCCAGAGAAAAATGTTCTCTAGGCATACTGTAATCGATTTAGAGAGAGAAAAAACTAAAGATATACGAGACACTGGAATTTTTCAACATATCAGTAGAATAAACGCTCCATAAATGGTTTAATAATTATTAAAGTCAACCTTTGTGTATAAAAAAGCATCACTGAGTAAAATGATACTACCAAAGTAATTTGTTTCCTGTTCAAAAGTCGTCGTTAAAGAATCAAAAGTGAACAATTAGGCGCTTCATCGGTAAAATAGAGGAGCAAAGTCGACTCAGAAGAGTGAAAATTTTAGCATCTTGTAAGTCGTTGATTTAATCCTGCTCAAAATCGATTAAGCTAGCCTAGAGGACATTTTGTTTCTTTAAAAAACATTCAAGTTTCCAGAATTTTTGTGCGGAGACTAATAAGAAATAGATACATTAGAGATGTATTAATTACTTCCAATATAATGGACAGTAACAATACTTCATATATCCTTTCTTTCGCTTTTCTAAAAACTTTTCAGACAACTCAACATGTCCTTGTGATGCAGCTGTCTTAAAGAATACAGCAACTTCTACGAATCGTTCTTTCGAAATTTTTCTGTAAGTCCTCGTACTCATTTCATCGTCAAATGCAAGAAATTGAAGCAAAGGCAGATGCTTGGTTGAAGGTGAAAGGTCACTCTTTCAGATCATATACTTTCTTTAAACATGATTGAATTTTTTCCTGTGCTATCAAACAAAGAAATTTCGTTTGCTGAATGAATCTAGTAAATACCAAAAAAAGATAAATCATGGAAGATTCGCAAATATAACGGCGAATCTTTCGACGAAATTTCAAGATTACATGGTTTGCCTATACAAAAAAGATATGCGAAATAAACCCTATTGAAAACATATCGGGATAACTGATATCTCTTTAATACGAGTTAGAGTTGAAAAGGAATAAAATCGCCCCTTCTCGTTCATCTCACTCTCCCATTACTCCCTGAAAAGTTTTGAGCCTCCCCTAAATTAGAGTCGTTCCGCCGCCACTGTCCGATAGTTAACTAATATATAAGTGAAAGATTTTTTGATTAATAATTCTTATATAAAAATTTGTAAATTTTATTTGTATACCAGACAAAATCCAAAAAAAAGCAGGCACAATCTATCTACTTTATTAAAGGGCAACAAAAAAAAAGGTTCAGTTTAATTTATTTTGTTCAACCAAATGTCAAAATAAACAAAGACAATTTTAAACGCCCGTGTAGAGTGAAAGAAAATAAATATAAAGTAAGAATATTGGATAAAGAAGTGCTTTCTTTTGTTGAAGTTCTTCAACACATAATAATGTTACTGCTGAATATGTTGACCATATGACACCCATTAACTATAATTAAATTACAGAATATAGAAATATAAAATAATCTTCAAAATAAAATTTTTTTACTTTTATAAATAGAGTCAAATAATGCGCATTTTTTGCTATAGAACTTATAAAAGCAACCAAGAGTAAAGGAACAAGTGAATAACCAATTGTACTAACAATTTGAAAATAAGATACCCGATATAAAATCCAATGGATTATAACGGGTAACTCATAAAGAATGAGACTCTTTGATTTTCTTTTTTTAAGGACAGCAATACAGTTTAAAATGCTGCATTTCTCAATGTTTTGCAATTTTAGAAAAAAAAAACAATTCGAAGAATAATTTTTCAAACAACAATGCAAAAGACTTTTTCTAGCAGCTCTATGCGATGTGGGTTCATAGAGTATGTTAACTTTTGAAAATACGAGTTTCAAAACCTTTCGCACATGAACGATATCATTAGGAGCTTTGAGAATAAATTGATAGATATCTGCAAATGATTGCGGTTGGACAGTGAAGCAAAGAAGTGTTTCGGTTTTTCAAAAACAGAAAATCAAACTATCTGATTATTTAAGAGTCACTCGTTATTAAACTTATTGAAAGATTCAATTAACCTCTCCACCAAGAACACGAGCCAAAATAAAGACTCCAAGTGAACCAAAAATCCAAATTGTTATAATCCATGAAACAACCTTTAAATAATTTTATAATATAAATTCTAATTAAAATAATGATACTTACACGAAATTGACCATAAACTGAAAGTAGAGCAAAACAGAGAACAACGAGTAACTAAGAGAAAAACAAAAAGATTTATATGATATGTATTATGAATCATACATTTTTTGTTTTTCTTACTGGTCCCCAAAAATCTGCATTATCACGTAAAAGTGCTGCTCGTTGTAAAGTTCGTCATGGAATTGATAAAATAACATAACGTAAATTTAGCCATAATTTCACCAATATTTATATCTAATTCCTACTCTAGAAAAAATTTTTATCTATTTAAATTTTCTATTACAAAATTTTTATCTTTTTATTACTTACAAAAGTGGTCGATTTTCATCAGCATTTGTATCATCATCATCATCATTAGTTGTATCAAGTAACTGTCCATAACTTTGTTCATCTAAAGTACCACCAAGCCAACCACGATGACGTACTTGAGTGTCAAATTCTGTTTTACCTTGAACCAACAAAAGAAAAGCAATAGACAATTATTTTTTATAATAAAATTAACCAGCATATCCTTGTGAAAGTGGTATTTGTGTTGAACCTGATTGACCATCTTGTGGTAGAGTAAATGTATCATTCATAAAATGAAAATTATCCGAAGGTGGTGGTCGTTCTGATGGAATAGTAAGACTAACATGAGCTGGTTGCTCGTTAGTACTCATTGTCAATAAATAATAAAAGATCTAAAAAAATACAATAGATTCCTTAGAGAATATGATTGATTGGAAGAATGAAATATATCAAGAATTGCTTGTGACATCTGTAGAATAATAATCGGACGATTTGTTCAATATAAAATAGCCATGTTAGATTGGTATTATTAACAGTATGCTAACCTGGTGATGGACTGAAGATGCCGGTACCTAAAAAGTTCATGGAGGCAGCGGCAGGTTTCTTAAAAAATCACTGCAGCAGCATTGTTTTTTTGGAAAACATCGAAAAACTGCATAAATTTAATAGAATTTTAGGGCTTACAAATGAAACATCCCGAGACTGAATGAATCTGATGGACTAGTATCAATGTTTCTGGTCAAGTGTAGTCGCAGCAGTGAAATTAGAAACACTTTTTTGAAAACCACCGCGGCGGCACATTTATTTTACAATTCATCGTGGCAGCGGTGCGGCAACTTTTTTTATAAGTCATCGCGGAACGGCAACATTTTTTTTTTTTTAATAAATCGTCGCGGTGTGGCAGCGATAGATTTTCAGCCACGATGGACATCTCTGGTTGACATAGGAAAGGACTTCAGCGCAGCAGAGAGGGCACATATTTCGAAGCTCATTAGAAGTTCAAAATACTGAAACGAATTTTAATAATGCACTTGAAAACTATTCTAACACTGGTAATTTATAGATTATGTGAAACAAAATATAGGACTTTCGAATATAGATAGCAATCAAAAAATCTGATCTTTTCTAATGCTATTGAATAAATTTCTCGAAATTAGTAATCACATCAAATATATTATCATTGACTAAATCAAATAAAAATATTTTCACAACTGGTTTCATTACTATCTATGTAATATCTAATATCTATGGGTGTGAAAAATGAACTAACTAAAAATTGTTTTTGTCATTTAATTATAAATCGTGATTGATACCGATTTTTATGAGCATTTAAAAAGAATTTTCTCAATTGACGACGTGTTTCTGTACTTATAAATTCAATAAATTCTAAATGATATTCTATATGTAAACAAAGAATAAAATATTTTAATAATGGTAAACGTATAGAAATTATTGATGCAAACCAATCATAATCAGGAATAAGATCTATAATTTTTGAAATTGATATTGATCGATAAATACTTAATTGTTCAAGATTAGATACACATCCAAGAAAAATATCAATTAATTGATCATTATAAAACCAATCATTTATTTCACTATAAATTTCAAGTTTTTTAAGATTTGAATGTGTTTGAATATGTGAAAGTTTTAAATAAGATTGAAACATTTTTAATTGTAAATAATATAAATTAGGACATGCTAATAAAATAGCTTTATAAACATGAAAATCAATTAAACCAATTTTTAAAATACGTAATGATGATATTTGTGTCCATTTTAAAATTGTTTCAATTGTTTCAAATCCAAATAAATTACAAAATTTTAAATTAGGAAATTTATTAGAAAATATTTTTTGATAAATAGATGACATACCAAATAAAATATCTGGTATTGAAAGATATTCTAAATAAGATAAATCATTAATAACGAGTTGTTTTAATAGTTTATTTGTTGGATGATGTAGAATAAGATGACGAATATTTTTAAAATGATGAAGATTAATATTAACGTCACCAATTGTGATTAGACTATGAATATAAGGAAAAAGAAGATTAATATCAATATATTGATTATCTTCGGAAATAGTAAGTTGAAGATTATTGAGAGATTGTATTAAAGTATTAAAACGAAAATTGAGATTATAAAATGATTGAAAAATATCTGAAGTATTTAAATATTTGCATATATTGATTAGGATTTCATTTGATAATGATTCAAGTGTTAAGAAATTTTCATTCATGAGTAACAATAATCTACAAAAACAAAAAAAGAATTAAATATTATTTTTTTTTTAAGAGTTCTATCTAAACAAACTCATTTTATGCTTAGTAAATGAAAGAAAATGATAAAGATTTTCTAAAAATGAGTTTGTTATATTGTTACGATATTAAATATTCTAATATAATATCTAATCGAATTAGTATTCGTTGATTAATATTATTTAAATGAAGTCAATATTAATTACTAATTGAATAGGTTTATTGGAGAAAAAGAACAGATAGGGTAGCTTCAGTTCATACCATTTAAGATACAGAAAAAGATTTAAAATAGTTGATGATGCATTGAAGTTTCTAAAATTCGAAAACAATCAATCATGAATATCAATATAGTAGAAAAAAAAACTGATGAATAAATGATTAGAAAATTATTTTAAGTGAGTAAACATCTCGAAAAATTTAAGACGAATCAATTATAAATCGAATTCAATATCGATATTTATGAATATTCATTTTAATTCTAACTGATTGAAGCTAATCATAATTGAAAATAAAATTTACTATCCTGGAAAAATTATCAAGTCAATAAATAATCAATTGTTCCAAATTAGGTACACATGTAAAAATTGTGCTAATCATATTATCATTTCAAGGTCAGATATAATATCCAATGACAAGTATCATTTGTTTTCGATTAGATATATAATCAAGTATTCTTTGGGCGTCGATCTAATGTTAAAAAACTAAATTTAAACAGAAATAAATTTAGACATGTAGAAAGAACGACACTATAAAATTGTAAATTAATCAATTTAACTTTTTAAATATGTAATACTAGTAATTGTATTTATACTTCAAAAGAGATGTTCTAAATAAGAAGTCGTTTCATTGATTATTTTGTCTAGTTATTTATCAGGACGAGTATTTAGAAAACGATGAGAATTTGTAATAATCAAAGAGTTAATGATTCGAGTATAAATAAATAAACAAAACTGATTGTCTCATTGATAGTTATATCATCTTTGACCTTCAAAAAAAAAAATAAGTTGAAATTAATGAAATAATTGAAGTAAGTTTATTAAAACCAGAATTAAAATTGTAAAAAGCTAGTAAATTAAAATAAAATCATTGAAAACTTTGCAAACATTTAATATTTAGTAAATTTTCCAATCGATATAATTTTTTTTTCTATATGTACAACTGAAAAACACAAAAAAACAAACTTCATACATATAATAATGAAAGAATTATTCAAATGTAATAAGATTGTATCTACCTACAAATAATTATGAAAAAGCGATAAGATTGATGTTAATTTAAATTATTCGAGATAGTCTGATGACTGTTCTATAAAGATACTTTCTTTTGACGTTATGTATACAAATCTCCTATTGCTTAAAATCATATTCACTCTTAGTTACAGAGGACATAGAAAGAGATGGCGCTGAATATTAATGTAAGTTGATTGTGTTACATGAAAGATTATATTAAATTATGAAATAATATATTTCTTAGCAATATGTTAAAATCAACTATTAATATTTATCGTTATATTTTACAAATAAGCTCATATGATAGCAGATTTCTCAAATTTTTTATATAGAACTATTAATAAAAATGTTGTATTTAGTGTTTTTCTTCACTAGAACAGTGAAAATACAAAACACCATCGAATGTAATGATTTTTTCTTATTTAAGTAAAATATTTTCAATCTTGACATATGAAGATTTCTGTTAGAATAAAAATATATTGATGAAAGAACAAACAAATATATTGTTTGTTATTAGTAAATGAACACGAAAATGTAAAGAATTTGATTTTTTTTTATATATGTATTTCTTTAATCAAAATTTCGGACAAAAGTCTTTTTTTTTCTGTATTGTTCACATTAAAACATGAAGTCTAGTGTGTTATCAATAGGAATAAATAAAATACTGTTATTTAATTATCGTTCATTTAATAAAAGCAAGCACACAAATGTTAGGCTACTATTTTTTTTACAAAGCAATCATCACTAATGGGAATATTTCTTTGTCACAGACAAGAAATGAATATCGTGTATCTGCAGCTGCTGTAACTGTACCATACTGGAACAGTTGTTACTAGTTAATGAAATTCATTGAGTCCCAGACTGTTACACTTATGAACAGTATAAAATTTCTTGCAAAATTATACAGTCTTGAAATGTTCTTTAAAAAGAAAAACTTTCACCATGGACATTTCTGATGGATATATCAAGAATTAAATAGTTTCTAGTCGACTAAATGTATAATTTATTTTTTGATTATTTTGCATTCTATTTTTTTCTAAGTCCATCTGTTTAAACAAAAGGGACAATTAATTAATGATCACATTGCTGTCAAGTCAATTAAGTGTATAATCATTCCATAATTAGCAAAATTGATAATATCTTTAATTGTATTAAAAGTCATTATAAAAGATGAATAGTATATTTTTATTATTTCATAGATGGTATGAATTATTCATTCTGTTTCCAATGTAATAATAATTCAGCATTTATAGAAATAACTTTCCTTCCCAGTTCTTTTTTGTTGACATAATGAACTAGAAGAAGAACAATTAATTCATTAATAAAAAAATAAAAACCGTTATCTATGTGTCATTCATGCTTCTGCATATTTTTCTTGGTAATCGTTGACTCATCCAAACTGATGAAATCAATATGCACTCTTAAATTCAATAGTCGTTTTTTTCTTAAGCAATATTTTATATAATTACTCTGTCCTATTAAAGTGACATAGATTCATCATGAATTTGTCGAATCGAATTCATCCTATTGACTTCTCTTGGAGGCGATTACTATCCTTGGTTTATTAAGTTTGTTCGATGCCAAATGTGGAATAGATGAGAAGGAGAATCTCTTTTTGAACTAGATAATAATTGACGTCTGAGATGTTGACAAAAGACGTTAAAAGTATGTACAGATGCATTATCATGATGATTAAAGTGTTTAATACATGGGAAATTACTTAGGGATCATGATTGAAATTAAGAGACACTAAATGGTTTCTAATAGTGAGTAAGAAATTGTTAAAGAGTCATAAATCATCTTGTAGAAGCTGATAGGATCTTCATTTTCGTTTGAACAAGAAGTATTTGACAATTTCATACCATTCAATGACGATTTTAGATCGACTTGTAATCGATGCTCAAAATCTCTCCATTCTTTGGTATTTTGTAAAAATGTGGGTGTGAGGTGTGGCTGTGGCTATGACAGAACAGATAACCCACATCCACACCAACCCCACCCTCACACCCGTGTGGGTCGTGATGTCATATGATACTGGAGATAGTTGTCGAGGCAAAATGCCGTCCGTGAGATGAGCTGTAGCATTTCGCTATTGCCCAAAGCACATAATTCAAAATACAACGAAACCTAAGGACTATGTGGTGAGTTAGTATGTGTGGATGCTAGTCGGAGGGCGAAAGGATTCCAGTCTTGACGCGAGAATGCGTATTAGATGTATGCGTTGGTGGGAGCACGGCTATCGATTAGAATTTTGGTGTTGGTAGAGCAATGCGGAGGTAGATGTGTGGGACAGATAAGGAGTGGATGGGCGTCATTTGGCTGTGGGTGACGTTATGAGGGTGGGTGTGCACTTAGGTATTGGCATGAGTCGGTGTATAGGTCTGAGGAAATACGGGTCTCATTGTGAGTAACCGTGCCGGTCTGAGTATTGGCGGAGATGTTAGTAGCTTTTATTCAGAGTGTGAGTAGATACGCGAGTGTGGGTCTGGCTGTGAGTGAGAATCTGAGTATGGGTAACAGTGTATGAGTGCAGATGTGAGCTGTAGGTATGAATGTGGGTAAATGTAAACCTGAGTCTGAGTATGAGTAGGTGTTAGGTATGGATGTAGAGGATTGAGGTTTTAGGTGAGGAACGGTATGAATCAAGGTGTGGGATTTTTGTCTATCGACTTTTAACAGAAGATATTGTGTAGAATGTGGTGTGAGCTGGAGTACAGCGACATTAAGCATGTGTTGTGAACAATCTGTTTGAGCCTCGACCTAATTAGGCGAACCCTATACGCTAAAGAATACTGAAACAGACTGTAAATATAAAAATATAGATAATGCGGAAGTGATGGTTGAGTACAGAACCCAATATTGAATGATTTTTGGCAAAGGATTCTGAGGCTTTGTTAAGAAAAACTTTATGCCTCAGGTTCTTACCGATAGGTTCAACGCAATGAGTATTGCTGCCTCATATTGAATCCAAATCAGATTAATTCAACAGAACAGGAAGCTGATGAAATCCTGTTAGGAGCTCACCTCCGTAAAAACACCATAATAGAAAACAGACGATTTTAGAAATGCTACCAACCAACGTCTAAAAAGTTTCACCTGTGAAAATAATGACCTACTATGTCTCTTCTTTTTGATAGCTGTTTCAGTCAATATTTTTATCGGAATGTTGTTTTTATATCCATTCTTCATTTATGTCAACAGAAAGATGATAAGCATTATATTTTGATTCCAAAGAGTGACAGAAATTTCAGTGAAATACAATATCATGCATTGCAACATCCAAGATTTCGTTTGAGTGAACAGTTTTTATGAGCAGGTTGATTGCGAAGAGTCGTGTAGCTCTCTTCAAAACGGGCCGCTTTCAATGGAAACCATTAAGTTGACCTGAGTTCATAGTTGAATGTGCAGAACCAAACGCAGCAAAAGTTATTGACGAAATGGTTTGATTTATATTAATAGTAATAGCTGATTATGGAAGGATATATTTGTGTGATGAAGATCTCATCATTGCAATGTGAATGAATTATGAAATCTGGGGTATAATAATGCGAGTATAGCGTGTGGTATATGGGCTACAGTGTGTGAGTGCGTAGTGAGAATGAGATCTGCAGTTTATGAGAGTTGGTTTCAAGATATTTGCTCGCAAGATAATGGCTGACGAATAGCTGTTTACTAGCAGAAGTGTTTGTCAGACACATGCTCATTTCAAGTGTCACTTTTGCCAAAATTTTGTTACAAAACACTTGCTTCTC